ATTGTTTCGTACATTTCCAAGAAGGCAAGTTGTAAGGCATAACAATCACAAGCCACATACTGTACGAGTTGCTCATGTTCCCAAAAGGATTAAAACCATTAGTGGCCAACCCTAACCTTACATTTCGAGCCTCTTAAGAAAACATAGGATATTGCCTATCAAAATCCTTCCATGTTTCACCATCAGCCAGGTGTCTCAATATTCTATCGTCTACTCATTTTTCTTTGTGCCATCTCATATCTATAGTTGTTTTTCTTCTCGACATATGTAATCTCTGCAACCTTGGTGTCAACGGGAAGTATCTTAAGATCTTATAAGGAATATTCTTACCTTTTTCATCATTCAACTTGTATCTGGACTCTTGACAAATCAGATAATTTTCCAAATTTGCATTCTCCTTCCAAAAAAGTGCACAATCATACTTACATGCATGAATCGTCATATATCCTAAGCCTAAGTCACGTAAGAATTTTTTAGCTTCATAAAGGGTCTATGGAATCACTTGATCACTTACCGGTAGAAAGTCCTTTAATATCCCCAACAACATGTTGAATGACTTATTGCTCTACTTGTTCAACAGCTTCACATGAAGCATCTTAATAACAAATGATAAAAGAGACAACTTACGACACCTAAGGAACAACTCTCTTTGAGCATCATTCAACAATTTATCAAAGTTGCGCACATCCTCTTCTTCAACATTATTAGCCACATCATCATCATTGTCCTCCCCCTCCTCCCCTTTATTTTCATTATTATTCATGATAGTCCCCATGTAAACATCTTCTAACAAATTTAGGAATTCATCTTAATCTCCGTCTATATCTTCTTCCATTCTATCTCCAACACTTCCAAAGTCATTGTGGTTGTCATTATTCAATGCATGAGATTGATTCATGGGAATAGATTCCCCATGATACACCAAAGTCTTATAAGAAGGGGACATTCCTTTCACGACCAAATGATACTCCACAGTTTTACTAGTGTGTTGTTCACAATTCGAATAGTCTATACAAGGGCAATGAATCTTATCATTTGGCCCTACATTTGACATTGTGAACTGAACAAAAGCCTTCACCCCATCTCAATACCGGAAACTCATCCTATTCTTAAGTAAATCCAACTCTTGTCTATATTTGGTCACCTACAAAGCCAATGTTATGCGCAATTCCTTTGTTATTATATACACTAATATTCAATATGTAAGTGGTCTTATCCCATTTATGAATGCACAATGAAAACATATACTAAAATGGGATTGGGGTGGGTGTTATTACAACCCTTTGTTATGACAGCAAAAGGCCCACTGTTTAGGTGGTTGCTTTGTTATATTAAAAAAAAAGAAAAAAAAAAAAAAGAAGAAGGAAAGTTGGAAACAAGTGTTACTACAACCTAACCATATATCAATATTTTGTTGTGAAAGTGAAACTATGTCGTTTCACATTTAAAAAACAGAAAAAGCAATCCTCCATTGTGAAAAAGCATTGATTAGTTGAATGGATTAGGTGGGAAAAAATTTAATGGAAATCACATATTTAAAAAAAAAAAAACTAATCAAACTCATTCAATTTCTTTAATAGATGTGATTTCCATTCATTTTTTTTTTCCATTCAATTAATCAAAACTTTAAATGTGAAATGACATAGTCTCACTTTCACAATAAAGTATTGATGTTTGGCTAGGTTGTATTGTAGCAGCACTTGTTTTCGTTTTTTTTCTTTACCAAATCAACTACCCAAACAGTGGGTTTGTTACTGTCACAGTTGGATGCTATGACAGCACCCACCCCAACCCCTACTAAAATATACCTTTAACTCAATTATGCATATGTAATTTATTGACAAGTTGTATTAACAATAATCGTGTTAGTTGTAGCATTTCACATGCCATGTTTAGAATAGTTGAGCCCATTTCTAGTTGCATTTCACATGTGTTGCATTAGCCAGCTTAACATGAACTAGGATCATGCATATGATTACTAACTAGTTTTTGTTTTGGCTCGGAGTACTCGGTATGCATTTATGCTTTAGCATACCGCATGCGTGTGAGTGTTGCCATAATAGCATGATTACCATGAGGCTAGCTGCTTATGTGATATAACTGCTTGAATGCCTGTGGATGGAGGTTGAATTACCTAAATTGGGATAACGCATTAAAACTATGAATTTTAAGCCCACTAAATAGTGGCAAAAACCATCTTTTCTAAAGCACACTCGAGGGTGGCAAAACCTGCATTTTAGTCTACTTGCGAGTAGCAAACAATTTTTCAAAACAAACATGCTATGTTTTATTCCAATTTAGGCGATTTGGTCTATACTTGTTTGTTGTGCGCATAACATAGTAATTCTAGGCTAATAACCGGAATAAGAACACATAATGTTTTCAAAAACGGATATCACGGTTAGTAGAGGCCGATCTTCGAATCGGGCGAGAGGGGGTGCTCATAGTTGACCTTCCCCAATCGTATCCAAGTTCCCGAGCCGAGCCAACTTTGGTGATGACGGACACGTGGCCTTTGGCACCGAGTCAGGGTTTCCTAAATTCCCCCAAAATAAAATATTTAGGTGGCGACTCTGTATCTGGCAAAGCAGTCCATGTTTGGCACTTCTTTTCTAAAAATCTGTTTTCTCAAAACGATTTGCCGGATTTGGACTCTTTGGTTCAGACTTAGAACCGTGACATAAATCGAGTCCGAACTGTAGCGAGGCCCACGGGCGCGTCTACAGGAACAAAGCCAGGGTTTTCCCAGGGTATGGTATCTAGGTCGGCTAAGGTAAGATGGACATCATCAGGGATATGGTAGTCCCTTTGGAACCCGGCCATGGCACCTGGTGAGTTTACTAAGAACCTATACTTTTCCATTAATTATATATAAATTATCGACAAGTGTTAGCTCGGTGTTGAGATGATATGGAGTATCTTGACTGACGCGTTGAAGAGAGTGCCTGGCCGACCTAAGTCTGCAGAGTGAAAAAGAAAGGTGTTAAGCACAGATCGTGGGACCGTGCTACAAGAAACATAGGCAAGATAAAAGAAGTCCTAGCTCGGCTACGTGGGATACTATCCAGTCTTAGCTCGGTTTAAGCAAGGGGCTTTAGCCTGGTTGAGCCTTTGGGGTAGCATTCTTAGTTCGGTTTGAACTAAGGGAACTGATTTAGCCCCAAGTTTTAGCTCGGTCGGTGGTTGAGGCTTTTCTAGCGTGGTATTGCGCAAACCTAGTACGGTTCGATAGCTCGGTTAAAAAAAAACAAAAGGTCCCTAACCTATGGAAACCGCAAGTATGGCGTGAAGTTTTAGTGCGGTTATTGGGTGTGGCTAGGCTTGCATCTAATACAAATAGTATCCTAATTCGGTTGATGTGTGATTTTGGATCAAATACGGTATTTTTCAGATTATTCGAAAAATCAAGTGGTTCTATTGCGTGGTTTTTCCCAGAGATATGGAAGCAAAAGTGGAATGTGCTTTGAAAAACATACAAATAAAATATACTTTTGTGTTGCAAAAGAGGTACGAAATCAACAGAAAGAAAGAAGATTCGAACCACTTACCAGTTCAAGGTGAAGGCACTGAAGATGGAGGTAGTAGCAGCAACAAACACGAGCTCTGCAAATGCAAGGTTGAGGAGAGATGGAGGCTCAGAGAGAGAGAAAGAAGGAAATGAATAGTGAAGTGTATGATTCAAAACGAAGGGTTTGTTTTGTGTAGAGAGAAAGACAAAAAGGCGGGACTGTTCAAAAAATGCGAAGTACGAAGATGGCGTGACAGCTGCATTGGGCTAATCAGAGTCTGCCACGTGTCCTTGGAATGGAAATCGATTTAGTTAGAGACTGAAGAGACGTTTTGACCAAACAGATTGGTAGCACGGTGTGAATTTAGCTCAGTTGGAAGGCTAAAGTTTTTTACCTCGATTGGAAGGCTAAAGCTTTTTTTAGCTCGGTTGGTAACAGGTAATCCCTATCATGCTGCGCAGATGGAATTAAAGGGCAATTGAGAGGGTAATTTATATGCAAATTGGGCCGAGCTGGGTAATGAGCCATTCTATGGGCCACAGTAAGAAGGGCTGAGTAAAAGGGGCCTTGTAATTAGTCTGGTCCAGAGGAGCCTTGCAGATAGTCCGGTCCGAAAGAGCTTAGTGGTTAGCTCGGTCACCACGGTCGGCGCGGTGATAGTTAGCTCGGTCAAACCATCTTGAGCCGAGATATTTTTGGCTTCTACTCAGGACCTTGCTGTTGAGTAGTTCGGTCCAAGTACGCTATGGTTAGCACGGTCTACAGGCGAAGCCGAGGTACATGTTACACATAAGGCGCCGGGATAAATGTAACATGAGTATTGTTAGCTTGGTTACATTGTCATTGTGCCATGGTAATGCTAGCTCGGTCATTTGGACATACCACCGAGCTAGGACCATCTCACTTGGTTTAAGCAGTGAGGGGAGTGTTGAAGGATAAGCATTATCTTTCAGGAGAGTAATTCCTAAGAGGACTCTGCATGGAGAAATAAGAGTCCTACAAGATTGTACCACACGGAACCTACAAAAGCTCACAACATCATTTATGGAGAGGTAACACAACTTTGATTCTCGAATACACAGAGCTTTTGTCTATTTGTCTATTTTGCTGACTTAGGCATCAGAGACGTATCCGGCACACACTCGCCGACTAGCTCACGTTTGTGTTTTCAGGGAGTAAAGCAACGACGTTTGGAGGAGCGCGGACTTGATCAACAAGATTATACGAGAAGATTATTTTTTACTCGTACAATAAATTTTCTTTGCAAAAGGTTTATTGTTTATTTATTTCATTCAACCCTAGGATGTTGATTAGAAAAAGTTTATATACTGCCTAGAAGGAACAGTTTTGTTTGTTAGTTTTTTCCCTTTGGTGATTTAAGAAGAAAAAAAAAGTAATTCATGTATCTTCTGTTATGATCTACACTTTCATGGCTGAAATTATTGCAATCAAATTATGCTAAGGACATAGAACTAAACCAATTCTTTTTTCTTTTTTTATCAGCAACAAAAGTAATTTTATTGATAAAAGAGGAAGGAAACAAGAAGAAGACAGGAGGTCCTCTCAAATGGACGCAGCCTACACCAAAAGAAACAGCTAAAGGACATCTATACATTCCAAACTGCTTTCTAGTCTCTAGAAGTAAACCAACTCAACTAAATATTGAGAAGAAAAAGGACCTATTTATTGATGTCACTAATTTGTAGGTAATTATCCACCCAAAAAGGTAAAAGATAATAGAAGGAAACCAGTTTTTTGGATTCCCTAAAACCACCAAGAAAATTCAGAAACCAGCTGGAAATCCACCCTTTCTTGGGTCGCTTACTGCCACAAGCTCCCCAAACTTTGAAGAAGCCTTTAGCTCTTGAACTACAAATTGACAAATAGTTCCACCAGCTAGGCTTTGTAAGATATGGCCCTTTTTTTTAAGGGCTGCTCTTATATTTGCAGGAGCTTCAAAGTGGTCACCAATCACAGTTGTCCAGTTTTCATAATACAGCACATTAGGTATTAGCTGCATAAATAATTTCTTGTCAGATTAGAAGATTGGTAATGGGGTGGAACAAATGAAGAAAAGCAAGTTTATACCCAAAAAAAGAGTAAATGGATTTGAAAAATGACCTCATGATAATATCTTGGAGCCATGACAGAAGAAAGTGGATCCATTCGCCTGGCAAAATAATTCAAGAAGACCTCTGTAGTCCCACCAATTATCATGCTTCCCCCACTTGCACCCATAACAGCTTTGAGCTGTGCGCCCTGCAAAGGCACAAAAACAAAAAACAAAAAAAGGAAGAAGAAAAAATGAAAATGTTGCACAAAATAGTCAAATAAATACTCCCTAGACAAGCAAAATATCATAACTAGAAAACCACTGCATCAGAATGTAATATCTGAGATTGCTAAGAAATTTAAACGTAAGCTTAACAGCTTCTATGAAGGTATTAGGCAGTGGTGTAGTGGTCACTAATAAACCAGTCATTGGTAAACATGATACTAACAAACCAAGATAAGCATAAACAATTAAATGAAGATTATTACCTTGACGATAATTGTGGGTGCCATAGATGACAATGGCCTTTTGAATGGATGGACAGAATTGGCAGGTGCTGGAGGTGAATTTCCTACAGAACTATTAGCAGGGATGGAGAAATCATCCATTTCATTGTTCAGAAGTATTCCTGTACTTGGAGACAGAAATTGTGCGCCGAAGTATGAGTTGATAGTAGTGGTCATGGAAACAGCATTTCGCTGACTGTCTACAATGGAAATGTGACTGGTGCCATGATCGTGGATTGGATTCCACCTAATAAGAATGAAAGGTGAACAAAACTAATAAGGACTACGATCTATTGGATAATCAATATTTTGTGCTACACGGACTCTTCTACTTAACCCCATTGGACACGTGTCCACCATATATGATATGGGTAAGGGTGTGGGATATGTGTCCGATATCAGTATCCAATTTAGATATTTGGATCATCTAATTGTACATGACGTTTGAAGAAATGGAGCTCACATTTTCCATTAAAGAAAGCTTGCTAGCTTCTTACACGAATGGGCGATATAAATTCCATATTTTCCCTAAATCTCATTTAATTTGAAGTAGACTTCTTTTTTGTGTTTGTTTGGGTGAACAATTTGAAGTAACAATTTATATCTTATCTAAGAATATTACATGATATACAATAGATGCAAGAATCACATATTTAAAAAAAAAAAACTAATCAAACTCATTCAATTTCTTTAATAGATGTGATTTCCATTCATTTTTTTTTTTCCATTCAATTAATCAAAACTTTAAATGTGAAATGACATAGTCTCACTTTCACAATAAAGTATTGATGTTTGGCTAGGTTGTATTGTAGCAGCACTTGTTTTCGTTTTTTTTCTTTACCAAATCAACTACCCAAACAGTGGGTTTGTTACTGTCACAGTTGGATGCTATGACAGCACCCACCCCAACCCCTACTAAAATATACCTTTAACTCAATTATGCATATGTAATTTATTGACAAGTTGTATTAACAATAATAACTGATAAACAAAAATTACTATTCAAGTAAAGCATGCAATGTACAGTAAAGGGTGAAAAAGAATCATATAGTAAGTGATGACATTGACATATAAATTAGAATTGCTTAATAAATTATGGTCTTCAAATTGTTACATATTAGTTTAGTTATTTTTGTAAAAGCATATTCATCTATTTTAGCAATTTGGCTTATTTATTTGTTAAGTTAAACATGGAATTCAGATTTTTGAAGTAAAACACAATAGCCACCCTTTAATCAGCATATTTGGTCTTATCTTATTTACATATCAAATAATTCCTTGGGTCATCTAATTGTTTGTCACATCATGAATGCTCAAAACATTACGATTCTATCTTTTTATGTATGTAGGTGTTGTGATACATTCACAATAGTAAAAAAGAAACTAAGAATAGAGTAAGTGAATCCTTGAACAGCCACAAATTTAATAAAAAAAGTGCCAAAATTCTCTAAATAAATTAAAAATGCCTTAACAAATAGTCAAAGATTACCTAATGTAGTAATTGCCCCCATCGAACGAGTGCAACTTTTTTATCTCTCTACATTAACCGATAACCTATAACCTTGGCAATTGTAAATCAAAGTTTAAATTAAAATCGCACTATACATGAAATTAATGGAGAGTTATGGGCATGAAATGAATGTCAAATAACATGTAAACATACTCATGTCTTGTCTTCAATTTTTTTAATTGTCTACATTACTTGTCATACTTACTCGCCATAAATATGTGCAAAATAAATGATTAGATTATATTACTATAGATCGAATCAAAATGTGATCTACACATCTAAATAAATGATTGTACTTCTAATTTTGACAACAATTGAATCAAGTATTCCCAACCTAAGCACCAAAAGCATGTTTATAATTTCGTTAGTTCAGTGTCATGTGCATAGATTGGAAACTTGGATTGAAGAAAAAATAAATATCAATTAAAGCAATGGCATGGCATGGCATCATACAAGTCAAAACCTACAAGAAACAATTATAAGCAAAAATTACAAGCAAAAAAAACAAAACTCTATTTGTATATAAAAAGCACTACTTCTATGAATTTAAACATTAATTTTAAACTCTTATATGACCAATTTCAAACTGCTTACGAATTCCTCATAGAGAAGAGAAAAGAAGAGGTTGGTGTATTCGTGTGTTTTGCCACCCACTATTTTGGGGGTTTTTTTATTATTTATTTTCTTTGGTGTGGTGGTTTACACATGATGGTATAAAATAAAATAAAAAAAGTCATGGATGGCAAAACACGCGAATACACCATCCTTAACTCCAAAATAAAAACAAACAGTGGAGTATTTGGCCAACGCAACACTTCAATTCAAATATACAAAAACTCTAAATACAAGATATAAGTCTCTCGCGTCTTCCTCTCTTCCTTCATTTTGTTCTCTTGTTATGTTTACTTCCGTTTTCCCTCTTTGTTCTTCTTTTCTCTCTGTTCTTCCTTCTCTTCTCTATTTCATTTTTATTAGAAAAAAAGAAAAAGGTTTTCACTGAGAAAAGAAGATCATCTTGTTGTCTGTATTTTTTATTTTTTATTTTTGGGTAAAGTTTTGCATAGTGGGTAGTTGGTCTTCTTTGTGATTTTCAATGACTTAGAAAAACAACAACTCTCTTCCTAGGAGAGGGGGGGGAGAGAGAGAGAGAGAGAATTTAAAGGCATATATTCTCTTTTATGAATTAAAAGAGTTGGGATTAGTAGACAATGAGAAGATATATTTGTGTTGCTGTGGGTTTCAGTTGGGGTTGAGAAAATGAAGATGAAAATTTTGTAAAATCAAAGACAGAGAAGAGAAGAGGGCAACAACCCAAAGAAAGGGTCGCGTTCGACGTCACCCAACGTTGCTGTGCAATTTGCATTTGGTGGTGCCAGAGAGCAAGAGGGAGAGAGAGAGAGAGGGAGATGGAATACATTCAGAATATCAAAGACAATAAAAAGAAGAAGGTAGCGACCTAAAGAGAGGGTCACGATCTGTTGTCGCTCAGCACTACTGTGCCATTTGCATTCGGTGGCGCGAGAAAGCAAGAGAGAGGGGGAGAGCGAGAGGGAGAGGAAATACATTCAGAATATCAGAGACATAGAAGAGAAGAGAGCAGCGACCTAAAGAGAAGGTCACAATCGGCGCCACCCAACGCTGCTATGCCTTTTGCATTTAGCAGCGCGAGAGAGCAAAATGGAGAGGGAGAGGGAGATAAAGAAGAAGAAGAAGAAGAAGAAGAGCATACCTGTGCTGTGCCGTTTCTAATGGAGTGAGAAAATGAGATGGTGCAGTGATGGTCAATTGTTTCTTTATTCACTCAAAATGTTCAGTCAACTATTTTTGGCAATAAAAAATTAGGGCAAAGACAAATAATTTATTGGCGACCAACTTAATTCAATTGCCATAAATATCATTTAGATTTTCAGCGACTAAATAATGTTTGTTGCCAAACAAACACAATTGGTGATTAAAATTTGCGTCGCAATAAATTAATTTGGTTGCCGAAAATTTTTTAGTGCTCCCGCGCAGAATTTTCACTTGGCGCCAAACTCAATAACGATCAAAAATTTAAATTCATCTTCAAAAGTTTATTTTTTAGAGACCATAAATATTCTGTCACCAATTATATATCTTTGGCAACTAAATTTTTGTTTGGTTGATAAAAAACGTTGTCAAAAATGCTTTTTGTTATAGTAAATATATATACATATATATAGTAGTCCATCACATATATATCTCCATGGGAAGCACTTCGTAGGTATCAAGATCTTGATATAAGTTGGTTTTAGTACTTCTAGAGTTGATATGCAAAGTTGGTTTAGTGGATATGATATGTTAAGAAAGTTGAAGCACAAAATAGAGATTCAAACATAGAATACAACACATTTTTAAAAGATTAATATTCCTAATAATAATATTTTAAAAAATATTAATCTGAACTAATAAATTAGCCTGCAAAACAAACATGACCAATGACTATGGAAAGTTGATTGATCCTTACGATAAATAGATGTAAGTTTATAAACTGATGTGATTTAAGTATTGTAGTTTTCACAATTCGAAACGGATCTAAGATTTGAGCTTTGAGAAGATCAAAAGCACATCTAATTTTTTAACAAAAAAATTATTATAAAATTTTAAATTTTGATTTATCCTATCACCAAAAAAAAAAAAAAATCCAGGGGTGGGTGGCATTGGGGTTAAGGCTTGGAGTTTAAGCCCCAAGGTCATAGGTTCAATTTCTTCCCCCCTCTGAGCCAATCTTTTGGGCGAGGCACAGTTGGTTAGGAGGTTGGACCTTAAGTTGTCTAATCAATACTTGGTGTGGGTTCAATGCTCCCCCGCTGTGCGAGTCTTGACTTAAGCGAAACTCGTCTTGGGAGGTCGGGGCAAGTTCCCAAGTTATAGTCTCCTCGCTCGGAATGGCTAACAAGACACCCTAGTGATCTCTGCAAGGGACGTTGTATGAATAAAATGAGTTTGGTGTGCAGTTCTGCCTCTTTGTTTTTTTTTTTTTTTTTTTTTTTTTTTTTTTTTTTTTTTTTTTTTTTATAAAAAAAAAAAAAAAAAAAAAAAAAAAAAAAAAAAAAAAAAAAATCACAAAAAAATCACAAAAAAATGAATATTATTATTAATCAGATATTTTTTATCAATATAATTGAGAATAAAAATAAAATTAAACATATTTTTTTTATCTACATTAAATAAACAAAAATATTAACTATTATATGTCTCCGTCTACTAAAGTTAAATATTGTAATCACCACTTTTAATAATATATATAAACATTTATGATACGCTCGACATAAAAAACTTAAGTAATATCTTTCTTAATAAATATGATTAAGTAACTTGTTACAAAATCATCTTCTATCATATTACACATCGTAGTTTTGAAAATTTTTTATAATTGAAAATGTATGTTGTTATAAGTATAATGATAGAGTTATGTTAGGGATCATGAAAAATGTGCTGACCGGTACGTAATTCGCCTCGTCTCTCTTTAAGTTATGCTGGGTACATTGTTGTTGAAAACTCTTTCTCAAAATTTTTGTTCGTATCTAATTCAATCCCGAGTACTTCACTTGTTCCGGAGGGTGCGAGGTTGGGTTCGGAGTGTCGGGAGTTGAGCTGAGAATTCTTCGGGCTGGAGGACTAGAGCCGTACGTGTGGGTGCTTGGGCCCCATGTGCGGGAGAGGGGCCGCACGTGCGAAAAACAAGGGGGTGTCCTGGGTGCACACTGAAATAAATGAACATGAAGCAGCAGGTGTAGGAGAGAAAGGGTCGCACGTGCGGGACGAACCGCACATGCGAGAGGCACGCTCTGCACGTGCGGGCATGGGTGCCGCACGTGCGGTGGTAGGTGAGTCCGAAATTTTTTGCTTTTCTTCTCTTTGGGCAGAGTGTATCTCACTTTTGTTGTATCTCTCTCTCTAAAAACTCTTTTCTCTCCCTTCTCTCTACATTTCATACACCAAACAAGATCAATCTTTGATCTCTTTAAATTCATGAGAGTTTAGCCCATAGTTTCTTCATCAAAGTTGGATAACTTCTCAAAGGCTTCGTTGTGTGCGGTGGAGATCATGTTCCAACATCTTGGATTTT